ATCTCGTTAGAAATATAAAACGGTACCCTATCGTAGATTTCGCGACTCGTGGATGGCTTTGGTGTCGCTCTCGGTGTCGTTCGAAATTCATTCGGATCGTCTCTTCTCGAGAATGGCTTGCCGCCTGCTTTGTTTCTTCGCCGTGACACTCATCGGGCACGTACGACGATTGTTTGGTCGTTTGATCGGGGTCGAGAGGCAAAGTCGTCGATGAGCCGAGTCGTGAGACAGGCGCGCATCGTTCGATAACGTTAGCCCGAAACGAATAAGGATAAGCACGGTGCTATAGAATAATTCGCGGACGCGAAGGAACTTTTCGTCGATGAACGAGCGTCTCTCGCGGGAGACGAAACTGGACGCGAGGCGAGGCGTTAAAATGAAGAACGGGGTGGGGGGGGGGGGGGCTCTTAGGGTAAAACGAGATCCGGGTAAATGGTAATGTTCCAACAAAGTCGATGATCTCGCGTGTCGCCCCATCCCCCGTTGCCTTTCCTGAGCTTCGTCTTCTTCGCAGTGCCAGCTACGGTAAGCGTGAGTTGAGTAGGAAAAAGGTGGTCTCGGGCGGCCTTTAGAACGTTCTGAACCTTGGCTATCACAGCGGTCGACTCGCAATTGTTCTTCTTGTGATGGACTCCGCTGGCATGGTGAAACAGTTGGAAGAAAGAATGAGTTTTGGAGGAGAATAGGGAAAGGGGAAGGAGACTTACCATTCCCCGATGTGAAAAACTCGAGGTGCTCTCATCATCATGGTGATCAAGCCGGAGTCGGTGCGAGGCGCGATTCCAGCTCCTTTGCTCGCCGGCAAACAGGTTTGCGCGATGTGCTGAAGGCTCCAGTCCCAGTTGTAATCGTCGTAGGAGCAAAACTGGGCGGCGCACTTTCTCAGCTTGTTCCACGTGACGCGGTTAAACGCCATCCCCATGTTGTGTTTGCTGGAGATCCAAGGGATCACCTCGGCCTGTCGAACGAAACACCACGGACAGAATTTTTAACGAGTGACGCTAAAGTGGTGGCAAGGTGGGAGAACGAGCAGGAAGAGCGCGGAACGATCGGTGCGCGCCGAGCGTGTGCCGGCCGCGACGATTCTTCTTCGAGTCGTTTCAGAGAAAGGGAAAAACTCGTGCACGTGTGCTCGAGCGGCATGAAGAAGAAGAAGAAGAAGAAGAAGAAGAAGAAGAAGAAGAAGAAGAAGAAGAAGAAGAAGAAGAAGAAGAAGAAGAAGAAGAAGAAGAAGAAGAAGAAGAAGAAGAAGAAGAAGAAGAAGAAGAAGAAGAAGAAGAAGAAAAAGATGACGAAGAAGAAAAGAAAGTTGAGGGACGGTGTGACTGAAGGCTGAGGAGTCGTGATCGCGACGAGAAGGAGATTCGTCAATAGCAATAGCGATCGTAACGGACGAGGGGTCGTCGAAACCTTTTGATAATGATTGTAGAGGTCGGGTAGGAGCTGGAAAGCCCATGCGGAGACAGCTTGCACCGCCTGCACGTTCCGAGCGGCAGACGAGAGGGCACCGGTAACGTTGGCGTTTCCAGTGTTTCTCGTGCCGCTGGCCGTGCGGCTGCCGCCTGCACTGCTACTGCTGATGCTGTTGCTGCTGCTGCTGCTGCTGCTGCTGCTGCTACTACTGCTGCTGCTGCTGCTGCTGCTGCCGCTGGTACTGCTACCGGTACCGCTTGGAATCGCGCCGCTACCACCGACAGCTCCGAGGTCGTTGATTCTTGCCAACTGCTGCCCCGTCGTAGACGCTTCTCGCTGACTCTTTAATCCACGCAGGAGTTCCTTTTGCAGGGCGCTGTTGACGCCAAGGAACTAACGGACGGGGCGTGCGTGAAACATCGACACACAGAGATATTCACACTGAGAGCAGCGAGGTGATGATTCGATACGACGTTCAACGCGCACCTATCGTTCAACGAGTTTTTGTCGCGCCGCGCGGAGCCATCCTTTCACCCCCTTTCAACTGTGGAACGCGTCGTTTGTCTTTTCAAGAAGGAGAGAGAGAGAGAGAGAGAGAGAGAGAGAGAGAGAGAGAGAGAGAGAGAGAGAGAGAGAGCGAAAGGAAGGCAACGCGGTTGGTTGTGTGGAAGAAGAGAGAACCGATCGGTCAGGTTGAAATACGCGGATCGCGGCCTAACCTAACCTAACCTAACCTAACCTAGCCTAAGCTAGAGAATCCGAATGGACGGATGCTAGGGGATATGCTGACCGAACGATTAGAGAAGCGTCTCACCTTTCGGCTAAAGTCGGCGAAATAGTTGTAGGTCTTGAGATAGGTGCCTAAAGAGAGAACGTTGCATCTCTCGCAGCTGTGCTTGCAGGTGCGCTCCATCAGTCTGAGAACGTGGAGAAAGTCTTCGGCAACGTAATGATCCTCCTCGAGGAAAAGTACCATACCGGTGTGATTCTTGGTGACGGAGAGTTGATCCAAGACGCGATTCGCCTTCCACCACCAATGATGCTTGGTCTGCGTGAATTTCGCCTCTCTGTAGTGTCCGTATAGATCGGGATGCTTGGCGTTGATGCATCCGAGATTGAGGGCTCTGGAGGAAGAGTGGTGGTGAAAAGGTTACGTGGCGGTGGGTAGAGGATAGTATAACCTAACTTTACACACTCACTGTTCTTTGCGAATGTTTCGCGGACAATCGTTGGCATCTTCGCCGGGAAAGGTCCGAGGATGCGTCTGTATGCTGTGAGGATAGAATATTTGCATGACCCGACAAAAGTCGACGCTCTGCACTAGATAGTTGATGTCCGGATGCCAGACGTCGTGACTAAAGACCAGAAGGGTTTGCTCGATTCCTCTCGCCTGAGCCAACGACACGATCAGGTGTCTGAGGTAGGTGAGCCTTGTGTGCACCTGAATCACTATGACGGGGGCGTCGATGGCCAGCGGGCCGAACGATTCTTCGTTGTAGACTCTCTGTTCGGCATTTGCTCTCTCTATGTTCCGACGAATTTCCGCGATCTCGAACTCTGTGAGCGCGTCGGTGGTGGCGTTGGTCAACGTGGAGGAAGAACCGTTTCGGCGATCCTTGAGAAACCTGGAAAGGGAAGAGCAGAAGGGGTCGCGGTTGTTTCTCGAGTTGATCGGGCCGGAGAGGGTTTCCTTTGGCGTGTACTACCTGTGCAACTCTTGGGGTACGAGGGCGAACAGCGTCTCGTTGGAGGAGGCTTGTCCAGCGGAGTTTCGCCCGGTCAGACTGATGACGTGGAGCTGAAGCCAGAGGAAGGTTGCCAGGAAGACGAGGACGAGCGTCCTGAGGAATGTTCCGCGAACCGATCTGATGGTCCCTAGAAACGCCACTCCTGCAAAACGTTCGACCGTGCACAGTCCAGCGCGAATCGGGTTTCGTTAAACGACAATCGCACGTGCTAGTCGCTTTGTTCCCTTATATGTGTATACCACGAACAAATAGGCAGTCGACAGTGTCGTGCGAACGAATCGGAATTTTGTCTCGCTCACCTCTCATTCTGGCATTCCTACGCGACCGTTCTGAAATAAAGAGAACGCGAGCGAAATTAGTCGGCTCGTTCGCTCGTTCGCTTATCCTCTTACCTCGTATCGGAGAAAAGGCGCGACGGATGGTCCCTCATTTCGTCGAAATCTGCGAAAAAGAGAGAAAAACGAGATCGGGTAAAAAAGAGCCGCGTTCTATTCTTGTTCTTTTTCCCGCGTCGACGAATACGACGACGACGGCGAATACGACGACGACAAGTGGAAGGAAAAAGGAAGAGAAGGTAAAGGAGAGTAAATTGGTGGGTGAACGTTTCCCCCGTACGATTCGCGTACGCGAATCGAAGAGAATCTCGGTTCGGGGGGCGTGTGCGAATGCTGGCATCGGAATCACGTTTGTTATCGGTCGTAGCGTGAAATCAGAGTTTAATTTTTCAAAGATTAGAGAGCAGGCCGATTGGAGGACGGTGGTGTGGCGATCTCTGGTTTTGGCCCGTTCCTCTGCCACCTTCCCTTTCTCTCGGCGTACTCGATATCAGCCTGCGCTTTCTTCCTGTCGTCTGACGTGCAAGTTAGAGGTTGGAGGTAGCGCGAACACTGTCGGCAATGTATTTCCACCGCTTTTTCTTCTTTTCATAGCGCCGTGCACGGAAGACGATGGCCTAACTTATTTTTAGTACGGCACGCGGACTTGTAGAAAGTAGGAAGAGGGGAGCAAAAGAGGCGGTGGAGGTGGTGATGGCGGTGGTGGTGGCGGGGGAAGAGAAGGAGGAGGTGGAGGAGGAGGAGGAGGAGGAGAAGCGAGTTAGTCGCGTTGACGGAGAACGATGCAACTTGAAAACGTAGCAAATGTCTGGCAGCCTACGCGATCGACCTTGATCGACGATTATCGCCGGTCGTATTGAAACGTTTGGCTACGTCGCAATTGTGTAAGTCCGGTCGTTCTGCCGTCGTCGTTGCTCAAGGGAGGAGCCGTTGAAACGTACGAGAAATCAGCTGAATCGGTCGATCCTGTTTCCGCGACTGGAACTTTAACGCTTTACAGGCTGAACGTTTCGAATTGGTATCGCGATCGAGCCATGAGATTGCGGGTAACACCAGGGGGACAAACTCGGGAGCGACGTCGAGGAGAAACTGTAAGAATGGCGTAGGAGCGGCGAGGTTTGGACGACGCGACGGCGAGGAGAATGCAAGAGCAAGGTCTCCGGGGTTTCTCCGGCGAGTGGTTTTCCGTAGATGAGCATCGAGTGGCTCTACATCCCATTTTGCTCGCTGGCTGGCTAATGTAGGTCAGCTGAGTTGGCTGGTTGACGCGAAACAATGCGGATATCCGTGAGCAAGTTAACCACGCGATATCCTCTTCTTGCGCGAGCCAGAGGGAAGCGGCGAGGCACTCGAGCTGCGAGAAGGAGTTCGAACAGCGATAAAACTCTTTACCCTTCGACTCTCTCTCTCTAAAATTGGAGCTTGATAACCACGTGCGCCTCTTGGCACACGTTCGCACTCGAGATCTGTCCCGGCACTTTTTACCCTCGGCGATATCGGGTTTGGTAGGTCGCGACACCGCTACCGGGCAGCGTTACTCGCTGCGAAATCGCACAGGTGAGCGTGCGAGCATGCGTCGCGTCGCCTTGCTAACCGCGAACACGTTTCGCATGACGGTTAATTCACTTGACGCGCAAATGCAAACGACTCGACTCGACTCGACTCGACTCGAATCGCTTCGTCACGCGTCACTCTCAAGGTGAACCGGAAAATTCTGTTTCTCTCGGTGCCGCGTTGCGGTTTCTCAACTGCTCCCGTTTTTCTTTTGGTTAGGTAACGAAACGGTTGAAACCTCGTGGAAAAAGGAAGAAAGTGGAAGGGGGTTGTACGGAGAAAGCGAAGGTGGAAAAGAGCGAGAGAATGGACGGGGTTGTGTGGAATATCGATCGGTGTGGAGGGTCTCGAGGCAGCCATGCTCTCTCGGCACGAACGACGAATGCGTTTTACTTTCCTTTACTTAACTTTACTCTACTCTACTCTACTCTACACTACTCTCCTCTACTCTACTCTACTTACGTAGGTCCACCGTCGTCTCGGAAGGTTTCGACGAGATCGCAGCAAAGGCGAGAGGCTTGCGTTACTCGGCCGATCACGTATCGGCGAGCGCGGCGACGTAAGTCGGGAGAAATGCTAGCCGAAAGAAGCATCGGCGAATCATCGCGACGATCTGCCGAAGAATTTTCTCGCCTTCTTCCTTCCTGCCTGCCCGCTTGCCTTCCTTCGTTTCCCTCTGCACTTGCTTCCTCGCTTCACGCGACGCGGCGGTGTTGGCCGTGCACCGTACGCGCGACTTTTCCTCGAAACTGCGATCCTAGAATCGCAGGGAGCGCGCGACCGCGACCGCGACCACGACCCCGCCCACCCTTCGCCGCGATACACACCAGCACGTTGCCCGACGCGGCGGGGGTGCGATTTCAGCCGGGAGTCGATCGATCTCCTCGTCCTGCCATCCCTCGTCGGAAACGAGCAACACCGTCGTCGTCGTCGTCGTCGTCGTCGTCGTCATCATCTTCCCCCTCGTAGTCCCCGTCGGCGTCGATAACCACCTTTCCCTCGCCGGATAACTCTTCCATCTTTGGTTCCGAGGAGGCGGACCACTCGATCGAGCACGTCGTCGTTTCCTCGAACGCGGCCAATAGATGGGACGACTTATTCCGCTAAACTTTCCAAGGGGCAGTTTTTGCGTGTCTCACGCGAAACGAAAACTTTTACGCCGTACTCTCTGGCCGTTAATGATAGGTGTTGGAATACCTCCGCCCCCTATAGTTTGCGAACACGAGAGGCGCTATTCCCACGCTATGTCGCGTTTCCACGTTCGAGCGGAGAAAAAAGTGGAAGGCAGGGGCAAACTGCCTCGAACCGAAGAACCGCGATATGAAGGGAAAGGACGAGGGTGGTGAATTCGATAGATTGATCGGCTTGAATCTGGATCTTCTGAGATTGTGCGGCGTGATACCGTGCGGTTCAGGATTTCTAGGTAGAAATGGTCTGGCGTGTGTAGCGTTCGGCTGTCTGACCGTATACAGCATCTCGTACACGTATCAATTTGTCACGTGTATGGAGAACCTGGACACCATTTTCGAGTCGTTCACGATGATCATCTCGATCGTGGGCGGTCAGGCGCGGTTCTCGATCCTGTCGTGGTTCCGCGGTACCTGTCGAACGATGCTCGAAGCCTGCGAGTTCCTCTGGTCGACTCTGAAACCGCGGGAGAAGGAGATCGTTCGAAGTTACGCGAACAAAACGAGATTGCTGACCCGCTGCTACTTGGCCAGCTGCGTCTTCACCATCTTCATTTACGGCGTGTTCGCTCTCTTCGATCAATCGCAACCCTCGCCGGAGAACCTCTCGGAGAACGGCACGGTCGACAGTACGGTTAGACGTTTGCCGTACGTGTTCTTTCTTGAGGTGCAACAAACGCCGTGGTACGAGATCACTTGCGCCCTTCAGCTGTTCGCGATGTTGAACGTCGGCATCACCTGTGTCGGAGTAGACACGATCGGTCCTCTCTTCGTCCTGCTCACTTGTGCTCATTTCGACGTGATTCGATCTCGAATCGAGAGTTTACACGCGATCGATCGTTCTTCGAGCAGCGTACAGACGAGAAATCTCCGAGTCTTGGTGATCCGTCATCGAATGCTCCTCGAGTGAGTTAGTTAATCGAGGACGCGTCGTCGATTCGCCGCTTGTATCTGGACATTTTCAGGTTTTGCCAGGACATCGAACGTGTTACGAACGTGATGTTTTTCACGCAGCTGTTCGGTAGCACGTACAACATATCTTTAGTGGGCTTCAAGTTGATCGGGGTAAGTAACGAATCTTTGCCAGACGCAACGGAGTAATATAAAACCTTTTGGAACAGGACGATCCTGATAAATACAAGTACATCAGCCAACTCTCGATAGCCATCATCCAGCTTTTCCTCTGCAATTGGCCCGCAGATTTCCTCTACTCGAAGGTAAACCAAGACTGACTCTCTGAAACCCTCGAAAAGAGTTTCTATTTCGTCTACTTTGTTCAGAGCGAAGCGATCGGTCGTGCAGCCTATACGGTGCCTTGGCATTGGTACCCTCGTTGCTTGCGAAAACCAACCAACATGCTGATGATCAGAGGTCAGAAACCGGTTCGTCTGACCGCCGGAAAAATCGTCGGACTCTCTCTGGAAACGTTTGCCTCTGTATCCGTCGTTATCTCTATTCTCCTCTGTGTCTCGCCTTCCCACGCTCATTTCTTCTTTTCTGTCGCAGATGATATCGTCGGCCGTGTCCTTCTTCACCGTCGTTCGAACCATGAATTGACGTTCTGTTATCGTCAAAATGTTTAGGGCGATACTTTAAAGCGACTGCGCATAGATGAATAATCGAATAAACGATCTTTCCAAGTTTCGAGAAAGAGAGAGAGAGAGAGAGAGAGAGAGAGAGAGCGGTCGCGCGTTACGCGAATATTAGCCGAAAGAAAGAAAGCCACGCGCGTTCGAGAAACGAGTATTGGCCTCCCTATCGACGATCACGTTCCACCTTTCTTGCGTAGACAAGTTAGGACGACGCAGAGTTAGGTCGAGAGGAAGAGAGAATTGTTCGTTCGGCAATTACCGGTTAAGTGAGTTCTTCTGTAATCCCCCGATATCCTCGGGATATCCTCGGGATATCCTCGGGATCGTTGTGACAGGCATCGTTTTTACGGCTTGATGCCGAAACGACGAGGAATCGCGGAGAAAAGGCGGCGCGAGCTGGGAGAGAAAAATGGAGCGAAAGTAGAAGCGGCAAGTGGAGAGGGGAGGCAATCTTGGCCGTCCTCGCGATCCGGTCCTTCTCGAATTAATTACAGGGGAGATGGGTGTAGGGAGACAGAGGAGCGGCTGCCGCGGACAGGCATCTCTCCCCGTTCGCTAGGCGAAAGCCTGGCGAAAAAGGTTCGGTGTTGCCGCGAGAGCAGAGGAATCGTTGATCGAACGCGACGGTTTAGCAACAAGTTGCAGCCGGTGCGCGTTTTCCCTGGAGTTTCCTAAAATCAACAAGTGTACCCGCTTTCCTGCTTGGAATTTCTATATCGGTTTCTCGTTTCTCGGAGGCTCCACAGGTGGTGGGTAGGTAACGCGGTAGGTAGGATTCGCGCGATCCGCGAAGCGCGCGCGCTTCTTTAATCGGAATTTTCCTTTCGATCGATCGTCGAGGGTCGAGGGTCGACCCTTTGGTGGAAAAGGGTCGGAGACTCGTCTCCGTTCGTGGAACGTGATAAAAGCCGGTTTAATAAAGCGGCGCTTGTATCGGGAATTCCTCAAAGGCTCGGCGTGCCTTTCGACCTCGGCCCGCATTCCCTGCGTCCGTCACTTCACCTATCTCTCGTTCCTCCTCAACCTTCTCCTACCCTTGCCTGCGTCTTAATCTTCGCGCCGTCTCTCTCTCTCTCTCTCTCTCTCTCTCTCTCTCTCTCTCTCCCGCGCTCTTTCGGTCCGCCTCTATTTTCCACCCTATCGCGCGATCCCTTTTCCTAGTCTTTCCAAAGGCGCGGCTCCGTCAAATCTGGCACAGAGTAGTGTCGATAATGGAAACGGAGATAGAAGTGGTGTGCACAAGGTGGAGAGAGAGAGAGAGAGAGAGAGAGAGAGAGAGAACGAGAGAGGAAGCGTAGGGGCAGGGTTAACGCGGTTTGGGGAGAAGCGTGAAAGGGGCGGGAGCGAAGGAGGAGCAGTGGGGGTTTCCGTTCGGTGGACCATGCGCTTTCGCGAGTCTCTCTGGATCTTCGTGGATCGAGAAAAGAGAGAGAGAGTGGCGGAGAACGCGGACGCGAACGAGCGGCGGCGGTAGGCAGGAGAGTGCGAGCGAGCCAGCCCCGAGCCGGAAAAATCGGGGTGAGATGCACCCTCGTCACCGGCGTCGCTCTCAATCGGCCACGGCGCTTCCACCTCGAACCATCATTCGTGATCGGCGTCCGGACCGATACTGAGCTTCTTCGCGAGTCCAGTCCAATTTGCCGCTCCATCTCCGATCACCTAGGTAAGACTTGTCCTTTCTGTTACTTTTACCCTCGGTAACCATTCGGGAACCATAGCTGCGATCACGATTAGGATTAGGATCGATAGGACGATACGGTCATCGTACGAGGTGGTAATCGATTCTTCCGACGACGCCCTGTCTCCTCCGATCGATGAGAAGCGGACGGGAAGAATCGGCTTCGTTGTCCCTTCGCCTTTATCTCCGCTCGCTTTTTACCCCTTATCTTCCCTTCTCTCCCCTTTGAATTTCCGTTTCGAAGGTAGCGCGCGACTCTACAGTTGTCGAGAGTACCCTCATTTCCGCGTGTCGTACGCAGCTTCCAGGTTGGCTCGTTCTCGAGTACGATCAAAGTGTGCACGCGTTTCCCGCATGCTGTTGGAACGGAACGGTAGGTAGATACGTAGTTGGTCTAATGGGTTAGAAAGATTCTAGCCCGGTATCAAGTTCGCGAGGTTAATAGAGCGATCGGTAACAAGGTTATAAAGCAATCTGCATAACCCTGCTCTCGGTACTTTGCCCAAGCTACTACTACTACACGGGCTTGTCCTGCACCACTCGGCTCGTAATTACCAGGTATAATGCGATTACCCGATCACCAGACCCGGCGTAACCGACTCCTGCACTCTGCGCTTCCTCCCACTTTCTCCGTGCTCGTATTTCCGACTCGGAAAAACCGAATTTCGCGCCTCTTTGTCCAGATGGATAGGATATCTATCCAGAAGCCAGTGCTCCTTATGCTAATTTATCGTCGACAGATGCAGCGACGGACTTTTAGAATAGACGGATTGTCTCTAATTCCGGCTTAAACATCCTCTTCCTCTCCTCCGGTTAGGTCGTCGTGTGTAAACATTCGAGATACGACGACGTTCCGTTCACCCTAAGGTGTAAGACCTCGGATGATTCGCGCGTAGCCAAAGGTAAATCCTATTGGACGGAGAGAAGGAGAAGAAGGAAGAGGAGGAGACGGAGATAGAGGAAGAAGGAGCTCCTCTCTCGCAATGGTTGATGGATAGGAGTCACCGTGTCGCGTTGGTTCGGTGAAAAGTGCGAAAGAGTGAAGGAAAAGAAGGAGCGGCGGTGCCGAGAGGAAGTTTCGAGGGATCTGTTGGCAGGGTGTCTCGGGCGAAATTGATCGGTCTGTGCTAATCGTTTCCTCCGTCGCGTCGGCCAACTTGTTGAGGCGGGAAGCAACAGTTTGCCTTTTAAACGCGTCTCCTCTGCTTCGTCGTCTCTCGGTTCCTTTCGACAGGGCTCGCTCGATAGAGTTTGAAACGGTGCGTAATTGTCCCACCCAGGGGTGGATCTAGTTAGCGTTCCGTTTCGGCAGAGAAAGGGAGAGAGTCGAGCGAGACGTGCGTTATAAAGTTGTCGCGAAGATACGATCGAGCTATTCATTCGGCGGAACTGTACTGTTCCGGTTGTTCGGTGCTCGGGCGGCGGTACTAATTGCTTCTCAAAGTTGAAACTAACTTTGACAGAATCGAGAGTCGAGGTTTCTCTTGGAAATTATCGTTTCACCTTTTTTCCCACTCGGCTTCGATCGATTCGTTTCGTGGTCTTCCAGCCGGTGTGCGGCGAGGCGAATCGCCACGGCATGGCACGACCGTAAGATAAATCGAGTCGGTTGACGGTCGACACGATTTTTCTATTAGCTCGCCTTTCCCGATCTACGTAGTACCCGTCTCCGGAATATAATCGCGGTCGGTGGATACGAGTGAAACGAGAAAATGGGCATAAGGACAGGAGAGAGTGGAGGAGGCGTCCGTCGAATCGGGATAACGAGGTCGGATGAGTTCCGCAGTCACTTCATCAACGCGAAGCCAACTAAACTGTCAATCGCAAAACCACTACTACCGTGTCAAACCCTTTCGACAGCATCTAGATATTCCCATCGATAACGCACACTCGAACCATCGATTTCAAGCATCGCGTTTGCGCTCCCACTCCCTCCCCGCCCATGTCTCTCCATCGAAAATTCAATTGGAGGTTCGAGCGCGATTAACGATCACTCCGTGTTCTTGTTATCGTTTTGTCGCGTGTAAATGTACGTATCGAAAGAGTAACCGGAGAGCGGTGGAAGAAAAAGTTGGTAAAGAATTGGCTCTGCGAGCTAGAGACGGAAACGGTCGCGGTCATTCTTCGTCGTAATTACCCAACAGATAAGGGAATGAAACAGGACGAAAAGAAGAAAAAGCGGGGAGCCGACGAGTAGTGGCAAGAGAAAAATCTTCTCCGGTTCTTTCCGAGAATAATGCACGCACCCAGGGGACTTGGCTTTCAGGAAAATGCTGATTGCTTCTTCCCCAACCCCACGCGCCCTCGCTGCTCTCCGCGATTTTTCCTAGCCCACTCCTCTTATCCCGCCCTCCCTTACGCACACACCGTCCTATCAATCTTTCTCCGCTCTCCTTCCTAACAGCCACCGCAGCCACGTATATGTACCATCTCCTAGTGTACGGAACCTACGATAGAATTATCAATTATTCCCTATACAGATCTCGGAGAAATATCGAAGAAACAGACGGAAGGGTCGGACGATCGGTCTGCGCGTGTGTAGAAAAGACTTATCTCGTGGAACCAACCCTGTCGAGGGCGCTATTTTCTCGTTCTCGCTTCGCATCGTCTCGTTCTAGTGCGCGTCTCCTGACGAAAAAGCAGAGCATGAGGAAAGCGGCTGTTAATGAGGTGAGAGGGCGAGGAGAGCGGTAGGAATGGTTATCGGGCGCCGCTTTAGACGGCCTTAATGGTTTCCTATTCACGGAGAGCGTGCGAAAATTAGCCGAGCTAAAAGCATCGGGTAATCGAGTTATTACGAATAAAAGAGCGACAGTCCATGGGAGGTATCGTTAAAAGCGAGCAATTAATGCCGCTAATTCTATAGCCTGATCGTGTCTGGTACGTTTTCTCTTTTTCCCCCCTCACCTTCGATCTCGCGAACCTAGGAAAACGCGTGTGAACCGCTGATCGCTGCAAAGTACCGGAAAGTGGCTTCAGTGCCGGAAGTTCGAATCGCCTTCCACCTTTCTAGCGATCAATGGGAAATTCACTTTATCTTCGTCGTCGATGACGTTGAGGAAATTCAGCAACGCGGCCGATACTTGTTCTTTCAAATCACTTTATCTTTGCTTTGCAGATCGTCCGACGGAAGAGAAGAGAGGAGAGGAGAGGAATTGAGGATGGGCGGTGGAGAATGGAACGGTTGGTTGCAACGATGTCGAGAATCGCGGAGGTTGGTTCTCGTGATCGTCGCTATCGCTCTACTCTTGGACAATATGTTGTTGACCACGGTTGGTAAGTGCCACCCGATCCCCTATATCGTTCATTCTAGAGATTAATTCGTTCGATCGGAGGAGAAACGCGTTTCTAGCTGGAGGGGGAAAGTGGTTAGCCTGCTTTAGGGTCACTCGGATTTTCCAGCCGTTTAGCTATCCTACTCCTACGCTGGCCGATAGTGACCCAAGGTGGCTGCTGGCTTTCTTTTATCGCGACGTCCAGCGATGTTTAATTCACGAGGCACACGCGTCTGTATAGCTCGGAAATATAAGCCTCGCCTCGCCACCTAGCCACCTTCTGCCAATCCAGATAAGTGTTCATGCATTTATGTACCGTATACCAAACAGCTTTTCTTATGCGCGCTAACAAATCACGAGGTGCGCTCCCGATGGATAAGACGATAGTGAACCTTTCCCACCCTCTCCTACACGAATATTTAGAAATGTCTATTTAAACGTTGCGTCGGCGGAAAAGGGAGGAAAAAAAATAATCGATCGATCGGGTTGGAGGTGCTGGGATTTGAACCCAGGACTTTCAGCATGCGAAGCAGACACTCTACCACTGAGTTACACCCCCGAGTTGAGAGTGTTTGCTCGACGGAACATGTTCAACCGAATCTCACGCGTCTCTCCTATCCTCTGCTCGTTCTCTTATTTACCGCTCTCTACCTTTCCTTCGAGCGTTTCTAATGCTAGCCAGGTGCAAACGCGTTACAGTGCCGATTATACCGGAGTTTCTCTACGATATCAAGCACCCTAACGCAACCCTGAGCCAACATCTCGAAGGGACTGGTCCACGTGGTGGACCAACTACGCTCGCCGGTGTTCAGCCGACGAGCGCGATCACCACCACGCCGAAATGCCCCTGTGCTCCGATCAGAGCGAACGATTCTCAGCTGGAATTTCTCTACGCGACCACCACCCTCTCTAGCATCGATTCCACCGATTTGCCTGGTAAGAGACGCTCCTCCTTTATTTCTGCGAGGGTGAACGAGGACTCACCCCTAATCTCCTCCAATCACCTTTTCATTCCACAATGCTACTTCCGTAATGCCACAGGGATTACGGACGACGGCAAAGAGACGGCAAAGTCCAGTTCGACCTTCGATACGGAGGAAAAGAAACAAAGGCACCGCGAATTGCTTCAAGAGACGATCGCCGTTGGTATAATGTTCGCGTCCAAGGCTTTCGTTCAACTGCTCGCGAATCCGATCGTTGGTCCGCTCACTCACAAGTAACCATCTTACTTTGCCTCTCATTTTTTTTATCCCTCCGCACCCTTATATCTCTCTCTCTCTCTCTCTCTCTCTCTCTCTCTCTCTTCAGAATCGGATATAGCATACCCATGTTCACTGGCTTTATCATCATGTTCATTTCTACCCTGATATTCGCCTTTGGACGAAGCTACAGCGTTCTTTTCTTGGCAAGGGCTCTTCAAGGTGTAGGATCTTCGTGTTCGAGCGTATCAGGTACGGCTCGAGAGACACTGTCTTCGTATCTCTAGGGGTGTAAGTACGTATTCCTATTTCCATTCGATTCGCAGGCATGGGCATGCTGGCCGAAAGATACCAAGACGACAAAGAACGCGGGAACGCTATGGGTTTCGCGCTAGGTGGCTTAGCACTTGGTGTCCTCATCGGTCCACCGTTTGGCGGTGTTATGTACGAATTCGTGGGAAAATCTGCCCCGTTCTTGATCCTTTCGGCCCTGGCCCTTGGCGACGGAAGTGAGTATCCGTTCTCCTACCATCCAACGCTACTCGCTCCCCCTCACCGCCGAACGCTTTTTCAGTTTTGCAACTTCTGGTCCTTCAACCGTCCGTCGTGTACACCGAAGCAGAACCACCGTCTCTCAAATCTTTGATCACCGATCCTTACATCGGTTTGGCTGCCGGTACGTGTATCCCCTTTTCCAGTCGCGGCTCCTAACCAGATGTGTCTGGTGTTCGTATTCGAGTCTGCACACTGCACACTGCGATACAATAGCGTAAACAGTTCCTAGGTATAAGCGGACCCGAACTTTCCCTTTTTCGGAGACCAGGAGTTCCGGTATTCGTTAGAGCATTTGAAAGAGCAAACACGTTTCCTCTGAGTCCGATAATAAATAGAATATTAACAGTTTACAAAGACTTTTTCCAGGCGCTATAACTTTCGCCAACATGGGTATCGCTATGCTCGAACCTAGTCTTCCGATTTGGATGATGGACACGATGGGCGCGAGCAGATGGAAACAGGGCGCCACCTTTTTACCGGCGAGCATTAGCTACTTAATCGGTACTAATCTCTTTGGACCGCTTGGACACAAAATGGGCAGGTTGGTGATGGTGGCTTTTCCCAAACTTTACAGTCTACACGAACCTAGACCCGAACGAACAACGCATCAGTATTTACATCGCCTGGATAGCTCAGTCGGTAGAGCATCAGACTTTTAATCTGAGGGTCCAGGGTTCGAGTCCCTGTTCGGGCGAACTTTTTTTTTATTTCTTTTTCTCTTCTCTTTTTTTCAACGCCGTTGATTGGACTTGTCGTGATCGGTATTTGCTTGATGTGTGTAAGTATTCGAAAACTCCTCTGCCTTTTCCTTCCACCAGCGATACACGATGCGATACACTTTACCTCGTGTTCCGACAGATACCGTTGGCCAAAAGCATCGACCACTTGATCGTACCGAATGCCGGCTTGGGATTCGCAATTGGCATGGTGGACAGTTCGATGATGCCAGAACTAGCATACCTGGTAGATATACGACACACCGCCGTTTATGGAAGTGTCTACGCTATCGGAGATGTTGCCTTTTGCTTAGGTTTCGCTATCGGTACGTAAGATAAGAAAGGAGGAAAAAAAAAAAGAATTTTGCATCGGCCGGGAATCGAACCCGGGCCGCCCGCGTGGCAGGCGAGCATTCTACCACTGAACCACCGATGCTCTTATTCATCTACGTTAACCGATTCTCTTTTCTACATACGACCGCGCGTTCCTTTTTACGTTTATCGTAATCACCGTTCGTTTTCATTCAGGTCCTGCTTTAAGCGGTACTTTGGTGAACAGTATCGGCTTTGAATGGATGTTATTCGGTATTGCCATTCTAAACTTTCTTTACGCACCGCTGATGTACTTTTTGAGAGCACCACCGACGAAGGAGGAGAAAAAGGTAAAGTTGGTTGGAGTTTTGAAAAGAATCAAATCAATCTGGAATCTCGTTTAAATAACGGTTGGTTCGTTGGATTTTAGTCGTTGATAATTGGCGAAAAATCCTCTGTGCGCTACGTGACGTACCAGAACGAAGAAGAGGAGCAATAAAGAGGGAAGGACGGATGTGTTCTCAACCCGAAATGGAGAAACAACGAGTTAAATATAGCACGGAAATACTCTGCGTGGGTAATACGATACGCGAATCATTATTATTTCGTTCCTTGTGTCTAGTGCAAATTGTATATACGTATACATACATACATGCATGCATATATACGTAACGCATACGCGTACGTGCGCCCGTGTGTATGAGCGCGTGTAGTATTACATCGTAAAATTAAGTGTGTGCGTTCAAGAGAGTCGCGTTAGCAAACGAATACGTTTACGTGGTGGATTGATCGTGGCACCGGGAGTCAAACGTACATATGTATATCGACGTATCGTGCCTGTATGTTGTATCGGAAATATGTACCGTTTCCTGGAGAAATGCGAAACGGACGAATCTTCGGCGATTCGAGGACGATACTCGCGTCGGAGTCTGAAAAATTTCCCGATTTTTCCACGCGAAGAACCGCCTACTTTGGATTCCCTGAATGGCTGCAGGGAAACCATACGCGTGAAACTACCGGGTAGGCGCGATGAAGAGTTCTTCGTACTCTCGCGAATTAACTTGAATCGAATCGGGATCGCGGCACTCTAGATATTTATTGGATATACATACATACATATGTATGTACATATGTAGGTAGAAAAGACCGGTGATGAGTCCCGCGATTAGTCGGAGACTCGTGGTTTTGCCTTTAATCGGGGAACAAGAATAGATATATGTCGACCAATTTCGCACTACATTCTCGATACAACCCTCAACTCTCACGAGTGATCGCTTATTGAACGATTAAACGAATCCGCGATCGGTGGGGAAAGAAACGTGAAAGCGTTCGACGACGAATTTGCAAATTATACGATAAACTTTATGTGAATTCGCGGCGGAAAACTCTGACGGAGAAACGTTTACATGTGTATTCCCGATTTTTCTTTAGATTCGACCTCGACAAACTAACGATAATAACGTAGATAGAACGGCATACGTATGTATGTAAATATGATACATATGTATACGTACACGTATATGTCGTACATATGTATATGTCTACATATATATGTAGGAACGATACGTGTTCCGTTTGTTCCGATAAAATATTATATGTAGTTCCATAATAACATGCGTATGATGTTGCATGTGACATTCTATACACGTATATACATATACGTACATATATAATAGAATATCTCTGTAGAGGGAAAATGGTAGAAACGTGTGCCAAACGTCGCTGTAATAATCTTACACGTCCTTAGCTGTATGCATACACGTATGTATGCGAGCGAGTAAAAACACTACATACGTAGAGATCCTAAGCTACTGCGCGTTACGAATGGAAATTTCCAGAGGAACGAATCGCTTGTTAGTGGATCTTGAGCGCGATACATATTACGAAAAAGAAATTCCACCTGTGTAGAAATTATATCTTTGTAGTAGTGTCGTAGAATGTTTCAATCCGTAATCTGGTTAACTTGTACAAACATGTGCGTTCATATGTATATGCTAATATAATACATATATACGATATGCATAGAGAGGGAGAGAGTTAAGGAAGCGAAGATTAGAATTTGTTGGGAATGGAAGTGACAAATATAAAAAAGCGTAAGACAGCTTTCCACCGCGAATTCGATGATTCCTCGAGGTTGGTTAATCCTAACCTACTCCCGGTAAAAAACGCGAGTCAATTCGATTTGCAAATTCTTCGCGAACGTTCGTCGCGATAGAGTGTACTTGAGAGAGGGAGGTTACGTGAAAGAGAGAACAGGGGCATCGTATTTGCAAAATTCGTGTTTGAGGTTCGAATTGCCGGACAGAAGAATCTCGCGGAGAAACGACGAGTCGACATACCGATCCACGCTACATATGTATCTGTATCGATGTTACGCCGACACGATATAGCATTCGCGTTAAGAATTATTTCAATTTCTGTAAATATAGAGGACGTACGTATGTATGTACTTAAGCAGCAATTATATCGGAATATAGCTACCCTCATATATGTAGTCAACTTCATTGTTAATCGACGACGAGGATGCTTTGCTCGCTTTTTTCTTTTTTCGTTCTCTTTCTCGTTCTCACGAGGAACTTCCAAACACCCTATGCACTTGCTGTCGATATCCTTTTCTTCATTTTTTTCTTACCGATCGATCGCATTGCCGTTCAAAATACAACGAAAAAAAAAGTAGACGTATCCGCTGGTGGTCCATGATGATTTAATTATTCGATATCAGCCCAATAGATTCTTCTTAGTTCTACGATATATTTTCTTTGCGTCGCGGATTAAACGAATCCACAGGAAATCCTAACGATTAACGACTCGTCGATAGCTGCTATTGTGAACAGACAATAAGCGATATCGCGAGGTACGAAAGTTTTCTCGTTACTTTAGAACAGAAACCATCTCGAAAGAATGACGAAAGAAAGCTTCGTTGAATTTAGGCGTTGCAGAATGTACTACTAAAGCACGTCTTACCTATATGTATACATATGCGCCGTATAGTTTTATATTCTCTGTTCAATCTGAAAATCATGCGTAGTGTTGTACAGCACGGGTTACACAACAACCACCAATACGTTCCCCTTTATTCCTGTCATTTGAACGTATCTACGTAGATGCATAAATAGGTACTATATACATATTTAACCAGCTGGTGTATGGGTCCGACTTAATCCGCCTGTGTGTAGTCTTTGAAAAATACTGAAAATCAGAAGAGGAAAGGTATTTTTTATTCTCGATGGCCGATTATGTATATGGTGTGTGCGTATGTGCGTGTGTGAACTTGTCGAGAAACTAATATCTGTGCATAGGTGAAAGACCACGTATGAAAGATTTAGGAAGGGACAATTATGTATTTCGAAAGGAACTTGAATGCGCGCGCGGATCCACTCTGATATTCCACCCCACCCGCCCTTCGCCGTAGAGACAATCGTAGCACGAACGTTCTCTTCCAATACATATCTTCGAAATCCTATCTCGTAGATCTATCTAACACACTGCGAGCAACTTTATTTCAACCGATCGATTCTTACTTCGCGTTACTTCTCGTTCGAACGCATGATATCTTTACGTGTACGTTGTTCAATATCGTGTATTAAATAAACGTTTGCCTGTTTTGACGTGAACAAATTATTCTTACGTATATGATCATCGCGAATCTTGGACGTTTCGTATGAAACGTTCAGATATCGTTCCACTTTCCCTCACTGTTAGATCAATTTTTCTCAGTAAAGTATGTAAAGTGTGTCAAGAAACTACACCATACCACGATA